TAGAACGAGATATTCCAAGAAGTTGAAGAGCCACGCGATAAAGTGCATCCAAAGAAAACAGAAGAAAAGCTACAAGGAACAGTTTCCTCTTCAACCCCATTATCTGATATGGTCGAAAAAGTAAGAGCGTAACTTCAAAGAACCACAAGTACACGAAAACACAACCTGTGACGTCAGACAAAGTTCTAATCCATTGTAGTTTCTCAGGAATTGTCTCCGCGTCATTATACTGGCAGTTGTGGATAGTTTGATAGCTGACGTAGGTTATCATTATATATAGTGCGCCTATTAAAGCAGCGATCAACAGTGAAATCAAAGCACCAGTACGTAATGCTTTCCAAAATGTCGAAAGTGTGGATGGTCTTAGCCGCTTCCAAGCCATTGAATGATCTTTATCTTGGTTGTTGTCTAATGTCTCTTCGTTTTCTTCAGGTGTGCACGCGTTTATACATCGTACATTAAGACTTGATGAAGGAAGATAAGAAAAAGCTGTTACCCTTGTGTCGCTGTATTCTTGAAATATAAATTCATCAAAAGGATGATAATACCATTCTCGACCGGTGCTTTGTAAAGGATCGTAGCCAAAAGATTCCGGTGTAAATTCAGGTTCATCAGGATTGTAATGCTCTGTGACGCCTCGTGTGAAACTATACACGATGTGACCAAAAACTTCGATCAATGTATTGCTACTCATTTTGGAATGATTTACTTTTACAACGAACGTTGAGATACAACGGGAAGGTTTCAACTGACTTTCGATTTCAATTTCAACATTGATATTTCCCCGATTATTTTCCAATTCTAATTGATCTTTCTAATGTGTATAATGTCATTCCTAAAAGTTGGACGTAGATGCGCATAAATATGGAAACTTTCGATGATGCTTTGGACTTTCGATATTTTCTCAACTTTTTTTCTCGGGAGTAAATATTTGGTATCGTGTGCGACATATCTTTGATCACTGACTTAACATCCAAAACATGCACATAAACTATGTCGAAGAGCGATTGATATACAAATTAAAGTTAAAAAATTTACCCAGTTTTCATCCCAATGCGCAGTTTTTGCAGACAACTTGTAAATGTTGTTACACTACAAAGGAAAATCACTGAAACTCATTCAACCCATTATTCTCAGTTATTTTTAGCAGAAAAGGGAGTATCTATATTTGCTTTCACACAGATGTAGCTGGAGGGCATTCTTCATCATTAGCTTAATTCTCGACTAAGAGATCAAGGTTCGTTTTGGAGCAATCATATTCTTAATGATTAGATTACAATTACAATAAAATAAGATCTGCTTAACCCAGACAACCATAAATTTTCAGATTCACGTCAAACTGAGAGTTAGTTGATAAAGATTATTTATTGTATCCTTCGCGAACTAATTCATCTCACGGCGGGGGCTGAAGCAGACCATCCGAGATTCTTCTCAGATATAATACGTATGTCAGGACAAATGATTATATCGATCAAATTTACTTAAATGCTCACACAATTCCATTATCTCAAAAGTCTTTCTAAACATACCATATACAGAAACAAGTTGTAAAATAAAGATGTTAGCCAGTTCGGCAAACTCTATTCTATCAGCATTGCCATAACGTCAATCGTGCCGGTGTCAGGCTAAATTCTCTAAACAACAAAACAACTTATTTTGGGTCTTATATTGTTACATCTCAGTAAAGAAAATTATTATTTGATGTAAATATTTAATCAAGGACAATGTTGTAAACAAAGATTCACGTATAAAGTCAGCTTTAGTTATTTCCTTAATAGGAAAAGATTGTTAAGTGAGCTTAATACATTGTGCCACCGTCAAAGGAGAGTAATTTCGTTTCATTACCATATTATGATGCTACACTGAATTCAAATGTATTGGTGAAGCTGGCGTATTAATTTGTGCTCTGATTGTTGTGTCTGTATCAAGAAGGGTTACTTCTACATTTCGGCTGCAAACATGTTTACCGCTGAATAAGGAGCAAACATGAAAAACTTTCATGAAGTATGTACTCAACCATAGCGCCAATGCCACGGCATAGACAATTGCCAGAAGTGTGTGTCTCTTCCATCTTTCTCTCCAAACAGCCATGACAGCCATGTTCTGATATTAAGCCTCGATCACAAGACACACGCTTGCGAAAAACCACTCAATCACTAGTAGAATTGACGTTTGGGACTTTTCGAAGAGTGATTCCGATAAGTTAATAAATTGATACGAGTACAGAACGTTATTCACAGTCACTATAGCAGCTGATTCATACTACATACTCATGATGGCGATACTCAAACATTAGTCTCACACGACGACGAGTGCGAAAACTTCCCGAAGAAGCCGATAATCTTTTCAAAATCACGTGCCAGAAATATATTTTAGCTTAATCGGGTGAAAAAACCTGATCATTTACCATAATAATATTTTATGTTGACGGAGATTGCTCTATTGAGAAATACTTTTCAATTGCCATGGATAAAACATAGATGCGATCACTACTATTTAAAATAAATAGAATTTACACCGAAATAGCGACGATGCTTTTTATTTCAACACTCTTCGGACTACCCCATTGACTATAGCCATTTGCAAAAAGGCACCTTTAAATTTACGGAGCGATTTCGATCCAACAGGTTTTTGACTGTATGATATGACTCTCGTTGCCCCCAAAGTGTCGAGAACATCTGTGTAATTATCTGACTTAAATAATTAACCATATCCAGAGCGAGGGATATTTGACAGATATTAAAAAAAAAGGTGTGTTTAAATGAGATAAACGATTGCATGATAAATGGCGGTGGAGACTAACAGAACAAATCTAAGTCAACTTGACTTAAACAATTTTAATTAAAAGAGTTAGAAAAGTGTAAGTTCTTTTTCATTTAATTTCGTGACCATTAAAGCTAAGGGTTATTACAACTTTAAGTTCTTGACGATATCCAAATGTTATGTTTTTGTTTGAGTTCCTTTTTTAATGTAACTTAAATGATTAATTACATAATTTGGTAAGTTTGAAAAGTGACATCGTAAAAACATCGTGAAAGATACGGAAATAGGAGAGCTCTGCCCGCAAGTAACGGTGCCTTCAATCGCACGAGTGCGTAATAATTTTTCCTATGAGTTTCCAAGAAACGCCATCGAACTCCTGAAACTTACTTTGGAATAATACGCATGCGTATATGTGCTCACCTTGCAAGGTGAGCGCATTACTGGTATTAGATGCAGTTCGCGCAATGCTTCACTAGCCCATGATAATTGTAATTAATTCAATTTTAAAGTGGGGAGACATGAGAAGACTTAATTGTTGCCAGCAACATGTTCTTTAAGTGAAGGGCATTTTGCACGGGTGATCTGTACCCAAAACTACCATTCATGACTTAACGTGTCTATTCAACTTAGGATTACACCCAGTCTCTCACGGTTTCATTTCAACATAAGGCAAGTGAAAACACTACAATAAAAACATACAACCAAAGGTAAAACATATCTCAATTTGTATCATCCTCTAAATTTATTCCATATTTTATTGCTTTTGCGAGAAAACATATCACATCAAAGTCTTCCAAATTTATCATGTACCACGTTGGTAGTTTACGCTTCAAAACAATTACCAATGATTATTATGTTAACTGAGATTCGCTCTAGCGAAATATACCCTTCAATTGTCATGTATAAAAAATATAGATTGAAAAACACTATTAATGAAAAATAAATTTTTACAACGAAATACATACAGTGCTTTTGATTTCAACAGTGTTCAGCTTACTAGATAAGCTATATGCAAAAAGACAACTGGAGATGTATTTATCCATTTCTATCCTGACTTAATTCTCGATGCTCTTTACGTGTCTCAGAAATCTGCGTAATTATCTAACTGAAGTAATTCATTTTGCATAATTTCTACGAGGAATGTTCTTGACTATAATGCTACGGGGAACTTTGGTGACAATTGATACAAGTAGATGTCCTTACCATCTTTTCCGCCAAACAACCATGACGGCCATGTTCTGATAGTGGATGGCAAAAGATTGAAGGAATTGTACAAAGGATTGACTTGGCAGGTAAACAACTTGATATGGGCACAATACGGTGTAAACAGGCATGACACCAACTGATTAATACGACATGCTCACGATGGCGATTTTAGCTAATTAGTCTCTCACGACGAGGAGTGCGAAAACTTCCCCAAGGTGCTGATGTTTTTCTCAAAATAACCTGGCAGTAGTGATCAAATGCGACCATTATGCTCTTTTCTAAGACTTCCGTAATTCCACGAATTATTTCATGAGTCGCCGTGGATCATAAACAGCTTAGCTTAAACTCGAAACATCACCGCTGAGCCGAAATATACCGGTGCCATAAAGACGTATGAATGTCCCGGATGGGAAACGTTCCCTAGTCCTGCAAATGATTTTGAGCAAAACCCCAATAAGCGGAGCAAAGATAGCGGTTAATAATTTACCTTTCTTGTTTTTTTCGTTGTATACTGGGTAAATGGAATAAACCGCGATGAAACCAAGAATATAGCACAAATAGCTTGGGAGAACACTGTAAGAATAATCTGCCTCGTTGTCTCCTCGAATGACCGACCGAGAAATGATTAAAAAGATATACTTGTTAAGATATATTAGACAGCGTTCTCCTTTTCAGGCGGTAACCGGTAACATTTACTGCCTGTAGTACCTTTCGTTACCGTTTAAAATTGCTTGGAATTCTTGAAAATTCAACAGGTAAAAGGATTGCTTTACCGGTTTGAAAATTAATTTTACCTGTCATGCTTAAAATAAGGGAGAACACTGTAAAAACGAAACAAAGGGACGGCCGCAAATGCTGGTGACCCAAATGCATTTAAGGCTTGTAAACCAACACGACAAAGAGCATCCAAGCTATGCGCAAAGAAAGCGGCCAGAAAGAGCTTTCTGTCTAACCCCATTACTTGATAAGGACGAAATAGGAATAGCATATTCACAGGGAACCATATATAATAAGTAGTGCAAGATGCAATTTTAGAAATATATCTCAATCATTGTCATTGTATTGGAATTAATTCCCTGGGCCGGGACTGCATGGTAGTTAAGTGCAGTTTTGTAAGAGAGATCAGTGAACAACACGAAAAGAGAGCCTGTGATGGTGGCTGTTAGAAGTGAAATTAAAGCCCCAATGTACATCGATTTACAAAATGTGCGGAAAGCGGATGGTATGAGTTGCTTCGAAGCCATATCCTCATCTTCATCTTGCTGATCATGGCATCACAGCAAGAGTTCTTGATGACGGATAAAAATACCATGTAAATATGGCTGATTTTGTTTTGCGCATGTTTTCCCGCTCGACCCGTGGGCTTTGATTTGCACGAGGAATCATGCATGATAATTTTAGCACCAAAAAACCTCTTGTTTTCATTGTCACCCATCGTACTTCATTTGATCATATCAATATGTAATCACTTGACTTCATCACTAAATAAAAACCACTAAAGCACAGTTTAAAAGCCACGAACTACATCCTCTGAGGTGGGCGAGTGTTAGTTTTAAACGTGGGAGAAGGAAGCGCGAACAATCTACGATGCAAGTGGAGGAAACCTTCCAACAAAGTGCTTAGTCTTACACTATCTCTTGACCCCACATTTCGTGACTTTTCTATTCAGAAATACATACAGTCGCTTACGTTTAAGCAATTTTTAATTGAATGTCGAAAGTAATCCGTGAATGCTTTGTGTTTCCTTCACTTCGCTCTTTGACTGGTCCAGAGAACTTGCGCAACTCTTTTAACCAATCAGATGCAAAACTAAAACCACTCACGACTTAGTACGTGCGTTTTCCTGCGCTTTAGGTAGTTTGATCAGTTTCATGTTGAGTTCTCATTGGTTCTTAAAGGTATTTTCATTACCTGTGATTGGCTGTTGTGATTACATGTATTTTGGTTTTGGTTTTACGACTCATTCGAAAAGCCCTTCATGTCAGGTGATAGGACCACATTTAATGTGTACACTTAAATGCAGAACATGTTACAAAAAAATTTATCATCATCAAAGTTATTTGCATTATGTTAACAGTATAAGCTTTGAATAAACGGCCAATGATATTGTGTTGACGGAGATTGTACCCTAAATCTGCCTTGGAAAAAACCGTTTGGTGAAAATGTCTTTTACAAATAAGACAATTTAGACTTAAATATATACTTAAAAAATAAATAAATAAATAAATAAAAAATAAAATATATATAAATATATAAATATATATAAGTTATACTTAAATGCAGAACATGTTACAAAAAATTTATCATCATCAAAGTTATTTGCATTATGTTAACAGTATAAGCTTTGAATAAACGGCCAATGATATTGTGTTGACGGAGATTGTACCCTAAATCTGCCTTGGAAAAAACCGTTTGGTGAAAATGTCTTTTACAAATAAGACAATTTAGACTTATCGACTAAACGTACTTTTGGTTCATACAATGTTGAGACAGTGTTGAGCGTATTTGGTTAACTATACGAAAACAAGGGAACAACAGATTTATATTTCAAAATCATAATTTTTTATCGTATCGAGTAACTGATTATTTGGTTTGGCTTCCTTCGCTTTTTAAGTGTCGTTAACATACTACATCTGTAGAAATCTCTGAATGAATTAATGAGTGATACCAAGTACATGGGATGAATCTGACGGAAACTTAACAGACACGTGTAGATTCCAATTGCAGTTGAAGATAAACCATTGCCGGTGAAGAAAATGCAAAGATGCTTCATGATATCAGATTAACCTCGGGGATTAGCAGAAGATACGTAAGTCATCAGTGGAACATGCATTCTTTATTACTCTTAAGTGAACGGTATTCTGCAAGGTTGGTCAGTGTCTTTGAAACGCCCATGCAAAATCTCTAAGAGATACCCACTTGTCCATAATGCTAAGGGAACCGCGCAGACAACTGCAACAAATGTGTGTCTCCTCCATCTTTTTCGCCAAACAGCCACGACGGCCATGTTCTGGTAGTGAATCACGATCGCTAGAGACATGCTGGTGAAAAACCACTCAATCACCAATAAAATTGAAGTTCGGATGGCGAACGACTGAAGCAATTTTACAAGGGGATCACTATGTAGGTAAATAGCTTCATATAAGTATAAAACGCCGTTGACAGACACTATACCAATTGATTCAAACAACATGCTCATAATGGCGATATCAGCCATTAGTCTCTCACGGCGAGGAGTGCGAAAACTTCCCCAAGGTGCTGACGTTCTTTTCCAAATAACATGGCCGTAGTGATCAATAACGACCATAAAGCTTCGTTCTAAGACCTCCGAAATTCCATGAACTATTCCAAGAATAGCCATAGATCGCAAACTGTCTAGATCTGCTTGTAAAACTCGAAACACAATCGCTGATCCGAAGAACAGCGGCGCCAGTAATACGTATGAATATCCCGGATGTGTAACGTTCCTTAGCCGCTGAACAGAAATCCTACAAATTACTTTGAGTACAAATCCAACCAGAGGAGCGAGGATGGCAATCAGTAATTTACCTTCATTTTTTTGTTTATTGTATGCCGGGTAAATTGTGTAAATTGTAATGAAAGTAACAATGTAACTGAAACAGCTTGGAAGAATCAGTTGTAAGAATAAATAAACTCGTTGCCTCCTCGAAAGGCTGACCGAGAAGTGGCTCGTTACAAGATAAACTTGCAAACATACACTAAGAAGAAACAGAAAGTTGAGCGGAAGTTTCGGTGATGTGAATGCCTTGGACTGTAAAACTTCAAAGGCCTGTAGTCCAACACGATAAAGGGTATCCAAGCAATACACTGAGAAAGCAGCAAGCGCCAGTTTCATTTTCACTCCGATTAACTGGTAAGGACGAAATAGAAGTAACATACTCACAGGGAACCACATGTATACAAAGGCAGAAGATAAGATCCCGGATATACATTTCATCCATTGTATCTGTGACGGAATTGACTCAATGGAGTGGAACGGGCAGTCGAGTACAGTTTCGTAAGAGAGATAAGTGAACGACGAGAATAGAGAGCCGATGATTGTTGCAGTTAGTAATGAAATCAAAGTTCCAGTATACAGTGATTTCCAAATTGTGTGACAAGTGGAAGGTCTGAAACTCTTCCAAGCCATTGCTCTGTCATCTCTTCGCTGTTCGCCTCGTGTTTCTTCCTTTTCTTGGGGTGAGCAAGCGTCTATAACTCTTACAGCAATATTTCTTGACGGCATATAAGAGGAGCCAGGTGTGTGCCCTCTGTCGCTGTATTCTTGATAAATGAACTCATCCAAGGGATGATAGTTCCACTCTCGACCTGTACTTTCTAATGGATTGTAGCCCAAGGACTCTGTCGTGAACTCTGGTTCATCTGGGTTGTAAAACGCTATCACACCTTTCGTAAAACTGACTACCATGTGACCAAACACCTCTATTAGTGTGCTTGTACTCATGCTGGAAGGATTTGGCAGTGAAATCCACCACAAGTTAGCGTTAGAAGACTTCGACTTCGACCTTTTCTAGGAAAACATTAGTCACGAAAGTGAAATGATAACATCATGCGTTGCATTTTGGGTAAAGGTACAACTTTGGGTCACGTAAGCGAACATGTTGAACAAAGCAGGAATGTACAGCTCAATGAAAAAGAAATTTGCGGCGTAAAATCAAGGAAAGGCGTCCATTTTTTAACTAAAGCGGAGGTGATAAGGTGGCTGAAGTGTAGAATGCAAACATTGAGGCGACCTAACCTTGAAAAGACCTAAAGACCATGTCATAAGTTGGTAGGTTGCTGTGCAACAAACTGCCTCAACCCTGAAGTTAAAGTGGGGTTCTTCCTGTTTGTGACCAAAAGAATCCAATAAACTACAGCTGGGATAAAAACCTACAGGCGTTTCCAGAAGGCAAAGTGCCTGAACAAAGATGGAAAGAGTTTGAAAATACGCTGCGCAAACTACTTTGTGTAGGTCTAGGAAAAGCAAACGCTTTTTGTACAGTATTGCAACATTAGCATCAAGAGGGGAAGTGTCAGGCTCATCTCTCGATTATTATGAGTAAGCAAACAGAAAAAAAAGGAGGAAATTTTCCTAATAGAGTACAGCACTCCTTATTCAAATTCTTGGGGGACACAATACCGTCGACTGCAAAAACCTTCCCTCGCTAAGCTTAAGCTGTTTTTAGAACTGTCAACGCTGTGTTTGAGAGTTTCCGGAAGAACTCACGTTTCTTTATACAGTAAGAGCAAAACCACGCGCGACAAAACAGCAATCCTCAATACGCCTGAAGCGGAAAGACTGCTACACTATATATTGAAATAAAAAATTATGAATTAGAAAAAAAGGTTAAACCAGTTTCATTCTCAGTCAATGTTAAAATTAAATTAATTCATGACCTTCTAAAATCTCTCGACATACAACTGACGTTTTTAAGGAATTTTCCCATATTCTCGTGTTTATCAAACATCATCAATTGTGATTGGTTGAAAAAAATACAAGAAAGTCATGACGATCCTACAGCCTTGAATACAATATAACAAATACAGAACCCGCAATTTTGTTTCCCAGCATTTAGTCACACAATGATAGTTCCTATCTGTTTGTCCGAGAATGTCACGCAATGGAAAAATTCTGCAGACCATATCGTTAATCTCCTATAGTATTCCGACGCTTTGATATTATGAAACGATTCCATCAAATGATTCCATTGAATAATTCAATCTAATGATTTCACAAAACAATTTAATCAAATTATTTGCGTCAAATAATTTCATCAAATGATTTCCATAAAATTATTTGAGTAGAGTGGAGTTGGCGTGTGTGAGGACATTTTGTAAAAATGGTCCCGAACCGTCAACTACTAGCGAAACCACGCGCGACAAAACAGCAATCTGCAGTACGCAGGAAAAAAGGTGGCAAGGATTTTTTTTCACAAATTTGATGAAAAATAAACTCCAAAATAATGTACATTTAACACTGAATTAATTAATTAATTCAAATCTGAACACTTGTTGAAACCGCACTCGTTGTTTGAGTTTCTCGTGAGCATAAGGACGAAAAGATGCACGTACCAGCAGCATGAACCAAACACTAACGGCCGCTATTGGGCTGATGGAAGCATTTCTTGATGATGCCAAATGGGTATATTGTATTGCACTTAACTGTCATGATTCTTACGGAGAGCCTCTCCGCTTCAATCTTAAGTGCGTTTCAAGTTCACAGAACGTCAATATATTCCACGCCTTCAGATCTACCGCATCAGCCAAAACAATGCTGCTGATTATAAAGTGAAAGAAGTGTTCATTTGTTTTTGACGCTGAGAGTATAAATAAAGCTGATAGACTGCTAAGGAAAAAGGGTGTTTTGCCATGTAAATCTGCTGAGCATTGTTTGTACAAAATGAGCAGTACATTGATAGAGGTGTTTGGCCATATCGTTTTCAGTTTTACACGAAACGTGACGGAGCATTATAACCCAACAGAACCTGATTTTACGGCAGAATCTTTTGGCTACGATCCTCTACAGAGCACAGGTCTGGAATGGAATTACCTTCCGGTTGATGAACTTATTTATCAAGAACACGAGGACAATGAAGTCACAAGCCCGGATTATTTCGCGGCTAGCAGTCTTAACGTGAGAGTTCTAAACGCCTGTTTACCTGATGAAAAGCAAGAATTACAAGACGAACAGCAAAATAAAGATAGAGCCATGGCTTGGAAGAGACTCAGACCATCCGCCATCTGCACAGTTTGTAGGTCAATGTACATTGGGGCTTTGATTTCACCGCTGTCTGCTACCATCATAGGTTCACTTTATATGCTGATCTCCTACATCTCCTACCAAACTGAACTTAACTGCCAATTTCACTCACACGATTCCATTCCACTGAAAATACAATGGATTCGAACATTGTCTCAAGTGATAGCGTGCGTTTTCCTTTACATGTGGTTCTTTATAGCCACGCTTTTCCTTTTCCGACCATACCAGTTAAAAGGGGTTAAGAGAAAATTAATCTTCGTTGTCTTTCTGATGTTTTGTTTGGATACACTTTATCGTGTACTCCTCCAAGCCTATGGAATATCTCATTCGAAGATATCAACATTAAAAAGGCTGCCACTTAACTTTCTATTTTTGATCAGTATATGTTGGCAAGTTTATCTTCTAACTAATCATTTCCGCATACTGTCAAGAGGGCGGCGCCCAAACTTATTTTTTAAAATACTGTTGCCAAGCTTAGTTACTTTCCTTCTTGGCATCCTCATAACTTCGTTTATTTACCCCGTGTACAACAAGCAAAATGGGAGAGGAAAATTAGTAATTGCCCTCTTTTCGCCCCTCAGTGGGGTTATCTTCAAAGCGATCTCCCGAATTTGCGTTCAGCGGTTATGGAACATAACTCATCCGGGATATTCATATGTCCTATTGGTGTCTTGGTATTTTGGCTCGGCGATTATTTTCCGAGTTTTGCAAGCAGATTTAGACAGTTTGCAGTCCATTGCCATTCTTGGGATAGTCCACGGCTTTGCAGAAGTCATAGAACGCAGCACCATGGTTTTTATTGATCACATTTTTCATGCTATTTGGAAAAAAAAATCAGTTCCTTGGGGAAACTTCCGCACTCCTCGCCGTGAGAGACTGATGGCTGATGTCGCCATCATAAGCATGTTATATGAATCAGCTGGTATAGTGTCTGTTAACGGTGGTTTGTACTTGTATCAACTCATTTACTTACGAAGCAGTTCACTTTTAAAGCTACTGCAGGAGTTTGCTTTTCGCACCTCAGTTCAGCTGGTCATTGAATGGTTTTTCACTAGCGTATCTCTCGCGATCGAGACTCACTATCAGAACATGGCTGTAATGGCTGTTTGGCGAAAAAGATGGAAAAGACACTTTTTGGTAGGGGTAGTAAATGCCGTGCCTTTAGCTTTGTGGACAAGCAATTATCTCATAGAGATTGTAAATGGGCGACTTAATGAGGCTGATCAGCCATGTAAAATGCCGTTTACCTGAGCGTGGGGGGTAAATAAAGTTTACTTACTCCGGCTTCTTTCGGGAAAGGGTTTTCACTTTGTGGTCTTGGAGTCTGTTTGTTTTTTTCCCTATGTAAAAAGCGCGGACGTATTTCCATTCAAGTTTTACCGACCTACATTTACCTACTCAAGTGAGAAAGGGTTCCACAGAGTGCCGAACGTGATTAATAAGGCAGTTCTTTGGTTTGCCATATAAAGCTTTGTAATTCACGATAGAAACAAGCGCCACGTAAAGAAAGTTTCCAACTGAGTGTCGAAAAACCAAAATCAAAGTAATCACAGTGACTAAACGTAACAAAGGTTTACAATATCATCAGCCAATGAGACCTCACAGTGAGAACAAGCCAACTGCTAGAACTGAGCGCGGGAAACGCGAATGACCAAGTCGCGACTGCTTTTAGTTTGCATCTGATTGGTAGATAGAATGGCAGAGGTTTTTTAGACAATCATAGAGCAAAGTAAGGATAAAGCAATAGCACCTTAGATTAATTTCGACACTTGATTGAAAATTGTTCTAAATGCAACCAATAAAACGCGGCTTTCTGGCTAGTTATTACTTGATCACTTACATTCTGCCGCACTAAACACCTCTTATCCTTTTGTTTTAACACTGAATTCTCATTGCGGGCTTTTTAATATTCAGACTTTCGCTAAGATTGTAGCTATTTAACAGCATTTCATCAAAATATTCATCAAAAATTGATTTCAGAATAAACTGATAGAAATTAGAATCACAAATTGATTTCAGAATAAACTGTGTAGTTGATAAAAGTTAGAAACAAGTGAAGGATTTTTATTTAGCATAACAGAGAATCAGAAGAAATAAATAAACTTGGGTTTGACATGATATAACTGACCTCTGGAACTGCAGAAAAGGCAAAAATTGTCCAACAAAAAATTATGAAAATGAAATGCTGGGTTAGAAGAAAATCAAATAGGAATTAAATATGAGAAAACGCATAGCGAAATTGCTTGTTATGGTACCAATTTTCGGATGCATATCAGTTCCGATTCTGTTTATGTCATCTCCAATTCTTCTGGATACGTGGGATCCAAACCTGTAGGTAAAATATCTCATTGAAAGTAGGACACAAATGGGGAGTTAGCTACTTCACCTATCACAAAAAGATGAACTCATGGTTCTGTACTAACTGGAGCGAAGGATACACAATCGATGAGCTCATCTCAGTGAGGGTACTTTTTCGCAAGAAATATGGAATCCAGTCGCTCGTCAACGACTTCTATCTATTTACAATATCACAATCTCATCGTCAATTCACATCCCGCCAGAGGTAATGCGGTTAATTTACAGCCTAAGCTTGGAGAACTGTGAATGCTGTTCAGGTGGTAGCTATGCGTAACAAAACAGAAAAAATCAATGTGTATGGATCTAACAAAACACATTTCAATTCATTTTGAAAACTGGCAAGG